CAGAGCTTGATATTTCAGTGACACAGACTCACACACTTGCTTTAGCTTCCTAGGGGTGAATTTTAGACAAGAAATGAACACAAGCACTGAAGGTTCTGACTTCTTACTCCAGACATAGGACTATATTTGAGTCCTTGGGAATATGTTACATCATCATTTCTGTAGTGAAATTATTTGATTATTAGGTAAAGCTACTGGAAGACTGTGAACAAATGCTGTGTCTTGTTGCTGCATCAACAGAAGACAGAGATTTTTTTTTTTAATGATTCCTAATGTGATAATTGTTTCCTTAGCAAATATTTTAAAGCTTAATTTTCAGCTTCTAGACCTGCACCTGTATTACCTTTATTACCTGTTATAGCTGGCTAGTTTTAATTAAAAAACAAACAAACAAAAACCCCAAAAAACAAAAAGTGAAATAATAGCTTTCTGTTAAAAAGAACAAAGAAACAAAGCCCTTCCCAAAGCACAGTACACTTGTCAATGTTGATGGCTATATTGTTATCAAGAAAGTAGTTCTCTTCTGGTAGAAAGATTTCTTTTTCTCTAGAAAATACACTACCTTTGTCAAGAAGGTCAGAAAAATCGCTGCAGGTTATGTAAAAAGATCCTGAAGCTGTTAGTGTTGAGAGCTGCTGTAAAGCTTGGAGTCCTCCTTCAGGGAAAAAAAGCCACATTTGAGGAGTAGCACTGCAAATTACAGGCAGCCTGCAGGTACTGCAGTGATTAGCCAAGTCCAGGCATGAACAAATTCAAGATGACTCAAGGTCATAGTAATGTGATTAGTGGTAATGGAAATTTCATTTAAAACCCTTCTGCTGATTATGGTATTTCACCAACTTGTGGAAGGAATTATGCTCAGAAAAAACAAGTCTTTGCTGAAGAACATTTCTGTCAAACAAGCCCCACAAAGGTTGCTAGGTTTTGTTTATGGCCTTTGAATGGCTAATTAAGGTTGCTGATCATATTCTTAAAATTGGGGATCATCAATTTGGCTTACTTTTGGTTTTATGAATCTAGGCTATCAGAGTATTTTTTTTTTTTTTTACAGACTACATGAATTATATAGCTCCCCAAATCAAACTGAATCTAGAAGAAATTCTCATAATTTTCAATTAGGAAAGATTTGAGGGTGAGTGCTTCAAAATACTGCTTTACTGAGGATCACAAATCTTCTCGTCAGAACAGTTGTGCAAAATTGCTTTGGCCCATTCAGAACTCCTGCCCTGTTTATGTTAACTTTACCACTAACATAATTTTGCCCTCATATGTTGTCATTGTCATGCACTTTCAACATAATAATCAATATTGTTTTGCATCATTGCATCACTGCAGTTCTCAGTGGCTAAGAAGTCATCACTAGACTGAAATCATGTATTTTTAGTGCTGATTAATTACATAATCTCAGTTAGCCATGTACAAACAACATCACCTCAGGATAGTTTAAGCTTATCCAGCTGGGTCTGTCTTTCTGGATGTTATTTAAATGGAATATTTTGTGCCAGCTCTCTCTAGACTACTGACATATTTGTAGTAGTACTGATGATTTTACAGTAGGTGGCAAGCTTTACTGCAAAGAATTTTGCAGAGAAAACCCTGGGCAAATCTAACGCGGGCCTTCTGAATATACTGCAAACACCTATCTCAAAAGGACGAAACCTGGGGTAAAATGCTTGTCACTAATTCCTACAGTAATTAGATTAATGTACCAATGTTTACAAAGAGACCGATAATCACTTCAGATGTCAGTCAGTGTAAATCCAAAGTGATCAGCGTTTTGTTGCAATGTTTTTAACGTTAAATAAAAATTTTAAGAGTGTTTGTCAGAAGAAGTCACTGCTTAAGTGATCCTAATTTTTTAAGAATGAAAATGACTCCTGTGGGTATCTGAACTAGAACACGAGGCCTTTTCAGGTTATCCCTACGCAATGTTGCCAAAAGTTAAGCTCCCAACAATACTGAAAAATAGCAAAACCCATGGCACAGTGCATGAGAAATGAAGATAAAACTCCAGAAGTCCCTCAGTGTTTTGCTATAAACTTTAAACACAAATCAAACAAGAACATTGTCCGAGCACTATTGGAACAAATACATTTGCATTGAATTGTCCATCAGCAATTTCTGCCTAAGAAATTTGTTTTACAAAAGCAAGAGAAGTTCAAGTTAAGATACGAGTTTTAAAAGAATCCAAGAAAAGCTTGTTCTTTCTTATTTTCCCCACTGTGGTGTCACTTTGAAGACAAACTGGTTGTCTACACTGCTGACTATGCTTCAAGGGTTTCCTTTTCTCTCATTTGCACCCACAATTAATGCCTCAGTGACCTGAAACTTTCCAAGTACCCATGCTCAAAGCTAGTGTGTTGGTATCAGAACTATGAAAAGGCATTTTTTTTGCTTTTCTCATACACAATCATTACAACATATTGACCTGCTGCATGCAAATTAACTCTGAAGGGGCAACAGTAATTAACTAAATTGCCTCTCATATCATAGTGGTTCTACTCAAAAGATACTTGAATAATTGACCTGTTGCAGTTTACACACTAATTTACACAGTATTTCAACACAGTTATAATTTAATCATAGCCTAATTTCTTCACATTTTTATGAATTATAAGTAGGTAGACAGTGTGAAAGGCAAGCTATTTGAAGTTGCTCAATCCCAAGAAAAATGTGAGCTGAAAAGTTTCCTAAAGAACGCAGTCTAGCTCTTTTTAACTCCAATTAGTAGATTTCATAATATATTATGTAAAGTAGATTACAGTCAGTAAGGGATACTGAAAAAGGGTAAAGAAAAGAAACTAAATGCATGGATAATATGCACATATATGTAAGGTGAGGTATTAGAACAAACGTAAGAAAGTGCTGATAAGAAGAAAAGTTGGTGATATTGCTGACTGGGGAGCAAGTCGTCTACTCCCATGGCCCATCTATTACCTTGAATTTTGAATTCATTAAGTGCTGTGAGCTGGGAAATGACATAGCGTAGAGATGCAATATTTGCTCTCAGTGCAAAACTAAAAGTTAACGGGTGAGAGAAGGTTGTTTCAGAAGTTAACTAATTTAGAGGTATCCTGCAAAACAACAAAGAAATTATATTTTTATGTAATCTTCAAGACTATTGCTGATCGGTTTTAAATCATGACATCACTGTTGCTGTCTATGCTACTACATCCATCTCCATTCAACTTACTTGAACAAATATTAATTAGGTACTTCACTCAATGAACATGTGCATTTACAGCCACCAGGTTTATTCAGATTGGTGCTTTTTGTTCTCAGAGGCACGATAGCTCATGGGTACCTGTCACCTGGGCATGGTCCTGAGCAACCTGATTTATGTGACACTGCCTGAGCAGGGGAGCTGGACGAGATGATGTCCAAAGGTCCTTTCCAACCTCAGCCATTCTGTGATTCTGTACATCTCTGCTCAGAAGCTGCAATAAGGAAGCACAGCTCACTTTTTCTCAGCAGATCGATCCTAGCTTTTCAGTTTCCCAGTTGGCCATGATTCTGTCCCAGGACTTTTATCAGCATCGATCAAGCTCCAGTTATTGATAAGTGCCTCTACATGTTCCTTCTCTTTCATCTCCTTTTCTGTTGGGTCCACTCTCCTGACTCTCTATTCCAAGAACTGGAAAGAAATTAGAGATTGATCTGACTTTTTCTGAAAAGTTCAGTTCTTCAACAACAGCTCATTTGCACAAACAAACACCATTCATAGAAGAAACCTACACTTTTTATATCCACAAATAAATGTAAAAATTAAAAGAAGAAAATAGGACATTCTGAAGACTCACAGATTGTTTAATATAACTTTCATTCTCCAGCCTACATGAATCTTTCCCTTCTGAATCATTACCTTCTTTCTGGAAGGAAATGTTCTGCTTTATTTCATAAACTCTCAGCCAAAATATGACTGCATTTTCTTTCCTGTGATACAAACATAATTTTTTTCCTCTAGTGGTATGCAGAATATTTGTTTACGGTTTTACTGCTCATATATTTTGAGGAATGCCACAGCATAATCGCTGGAGAAGTGCGGTGGTATTCAAATGTTCACTACAGAGTAGGGGTTTTTTTTAATAATATGGGGGAAATCAGTTTCAAAATAATTTTTTTTAAAAAAAGTATCGGATAAAACTCTACTCACTATACTTTTCCAGTCGATTGGCACCAATTAAAATGCTATACATGGGTTTGACTCTTTAAATCAGTATTTATATCTTCCCTCTCTTCTAGGTGGTTTGTATCAGTAAATAACAACTTGCCTTAGTTTTCTCCATTCATGGGCAATCAGTGCCTATGAGATTTGATCTGCTGCTCTTTCATTGCACTAGCGAACTATTTGCAGGCAATGCCAGGATTTCCTCCACTGGCACTTCCTAAACATTCATAAATTTAGCCTCTAAACCCCATGTTTGCAATCATCTCTTTGGATCTTGCCAACTCCAGCACCCTTGAATCAGGATGTATCTGAATGACAAAACTCCTGTTCTGTCCTGCAGGAAGTGTACTGATCATTAACACCATTTCCACTGACCCATACTAGATACAATATCATATCATGACAGAAGTCACATGACATTATGAGGAGATGATGCTAGTGATGACTAGAACCCTACTGCACTCTTCACTCACCTATATCTGTGTTACAACTGCGAGACCAGCTTACAGCACATATAGACATATTCAGGCTTTAATCTGGCTCCCTTGATGTGGTGGTCAGCGTAGGTATGCTAGAAAATTCAGCCCACATCAATTCACCTACCTCAGGTGCTCAGTATTTGGCACCTTCTCTGCCACTTCTTGGTACTATATTAGAAGTATTTTCTGCCTACTTTGCATGGACTCATGCTGAATGCTGAGATGTTATGGAGATGACTAATTATGATAGAAATCATACAGCTTCATGGCAAAGTTCCTGTTTTCTTTGACTGTAAAGAACATCTTTCTCTACATTAACTGTATTAGCATTTCCCAGTTATGGGTTATGGACAATGCGGGTAGCAGGTTCCTGCCCCTGGGCTGGGAAGTCAGAAGTCACTGTAATTACCATCTGTCAGTCTTCACGGCAGCAAGGCAACTCCAAGTTTCCTTTAATCCTCAGGTCCTGGAGGTGTGAGGAGGAAATGTTTACAGCGTCTCCACATGGCCTTCCAGCACTCAGACAGCAAAGAAGAATCTATTTTGTATCTCGGGGATTTGGGAGATTATTTGTGTACTATGTAGTACTATATAGATGTTAAATTACTGTTGTAATCAAGAAGTCAAAAATAAAATCCAAGGGCATAGTGTGTTAGATCATTTGAGCTCAAATTTCATCTGAGTCATTCAGTTTTGTTGAATTCCAATAAAACCTACTTCCACCACGCCAGAACCCCAACTAGTACTGAACTGAAGTGGTTCAACTCCTTGTTCTAATAAAAAGACATGGTTTTAAAAACACCTAAATACATTCCATATCGTCGATTTTTCTCTGTTGACTACATATATCTGCAACAGTGTTGTTAGCGTTAAGCAATCAATTTAGCAAGCTGGACAGTCCACAGGTGTTGGAAGAGGTAGGAATCACAACCTGCACATATTTTGATAGTGATCTTGGTTTAATATTTATGAATCCACTGCATGTAGTTATCATTGCTGTTTTCTTCTCAACAGCCCTCCCTTGGAACTATTTATTTTGAAACAAAGTTACTTTTTCTCTCTGCTTTACTCCAAGTTCTGTGGAAGTTTTCTTTTTTCTTTTTTTTTTTCTTTTTCCTTTCTAGAGTCATTTTGCATGAGAAATGATTCCAGGTGCCTGTCAAATTCTTGCCAAAAGAACTCCACGTGCGCTGCTGGTGACAAGGACGATACCTGTCCTTGCGCAGACACGTCAGTTGACACAGTAGAGGAACTCTGCAATAAAACCTATGACCCTTGCTCCTCAAACCCCTGCCTTCAAAACGCTACCTGTGTAAGCTCTGCTGGAAACCTCACTTTTACCTGCGAGTGCCCCGCTGGGTATAAAGGCAGCACCTGTGAAACAGCCGTCAGCGCGTGCGACACGAACCCTTGTGAACATGGGGGCACCTGCCAGAACGGGCTGGCCGGCCCTACCTGCCTTTGCCACCAAGGCTACACAGGGACGCTCTGCGAAACAGATTTTGACGAGTGCATTTCCGAGCCGTGCCACAACGGAGCCCTGTGCAGGGACGGCCTTGGCGAATACTCCTGCTACTGTGTCCCAGGCTACCAAGGCAAGCACTGTGACCTGGAGGTGAATGAATGTGTGTCAGACCCGTGCCTGAACGGGGCAACGTGCCTGAACCACGTGGGAAGGTATGACTGCATCTGTCCGCTTGAGTATACAGGTGAGCACTATCAAAAACAACTTTTTCTTTGTGTCATGGACATTGAACACACATACTATTCCAAGATTTATTTCCCCCTCCCTTATAACTTATTTGGTCATATCTGTATTACTGTATTAGCTGCAGTGGGTGTTCATGCATTATGGGTTATCTTATCCCTGTGAACTAGTGGTGCTAGGTGGAGAAAGACTAAAGATATCTCACATTTCACAAAACCTACAGAGGAGTTCCATGAATATCAAGGGCTAGGTTAATATTTATCTTAAAAGAAACATTCTGCAAACATATGTCCTCAGAATGCTCTACATACATTTTGGTCCTCAAACAAAAGTTATGTTTGACAGTGATATTTTAAAGATAGAAAGCAGTCTACTTAGACTTGCTTGACAAACTGTACTCTTATAGCTTTACATTTGCTTTTTAGGAACATTTTCCCTTTAAAACTTTTTAAAAAAAAAAAAAAAAAAAACTTTACTGAGGAAAGATACCATGTTTGGAGATTTTCAAAACACCTGATTCAGACTGTCTTACTCTTCTATCAGCTTATCCTTATCCACTATAGCTAACAGACCTCTTTCATCTTTTACTTTGCCGGAACTCAATGCAAAATAAATTAATCTATCCTTTTTCCTCAAAATCAGTTCTGAAAACGGGTATGCCTTTCTGGTTTTACTCTAGTGATTTTTAAGCTATATAATCTACTGATTCATATAGCTCATGAATTCCCCTTTCGCTATTCTCCTATATGACTCTTTGACCAACAGTCAGACTGAATCCACAGATAAATGTTCTTTCTTTTTG